CCTGCCAGGAAACTGAACCTCTTCCATTTGAATTGTCTTGGGAAAATGCTGAAGATCATCTGACAAGATAAGATAACTAGATAATGAGGTCCTTTCTTGAGCTGAACTGCTAAGCAGGCATTCAAACTCTACTGCAGAGAGCCCAACTCCAGTGGGCTGGTCCTGTTGTTCAAAAGCCCAAAAGACTGTTTTACAGAGAACTCACACCAGGCAAGCACTTACATGAAGGTCATAAGAAGTGATACAAGGACACTCTCACGGTGTCTCTGAAGAGCCTTGGTATTGAATGTGAGACATAGGAGACCCTGGCATAGGATTAGCCAGCTTGACATGCCACGTCAAAGAAGGTGCTATGCTCTGAGCAAAGCAGCCCAAAAGAAACAGGAGATGCTCATATTCAGAGACGTCTCCATCACAAATGTTCATATAGACTCTTTGCGCTATTTGTAGAGCCTTCTGAGCTCATATTATTCTGATCAGTCGTAGCCAAACACCTTCTGCGTTGACCCGACATCATGATGTCATTTTGATCCTCTTCAAGAATGAAGGACAACAATAAACAAATGAACAAACATTCATCATTAATCTTCATAACATTTTACAAATGATTTTGTATTCTAAATCGCCATAACCTTTGGTTGTCATTTCTCTGTGTCTAATAAGCACATCAGGTGTTTACTGAGTAAGGCAGTTTCTGTGCTGTTCGGACTTCTTTTGTGTAAAATTATTGTAATTTGATGTCAGTGTCATTTTTACTGGACCTTCCCCATTTTTCATTATCAATGGGCAATCAAGTTGTTTCAGTTTTATGTCATGTCTTTTTTTTTATCATCATTACCCTTTTTCCTAACTATTAATTCCTTTCTTTGTTCTGACAAGTCTGTGGTCTGAATGTACATGCAGCTTATTCAAAGACGATTCCCACATTGTTTATTGATGTAGCTAATTCTATTTTATTGATTTCCTGCCAATTAAAATGTAATCATTTTAGGTTATTATTTAACATTCATAATGTTCAGAATTATTTTTCTTGAAGAAAGTGTTCATGATATAAAAGTAGCCTCCTTTCTTATTTCTTTCTGACCCCTACTTAATAATATCATTTTTCACCACCAGGGCTTACCATCTGCCCTGCCACTAAATCCTAAGCCACATCGGGCTTTGTCATAGCTGCTTCTCCCATCAGAACACAGGCATTTCCACCTGCCCTGCCACTGATCCCTATGGATTGACCCACTGGGCCTTTCCATCCATGTTGTATCAGAACTTTCTTATATGTATTGTCTCTGTACTATAAGGACTAACTACTGGGCCTTTCCAAACACTTTGACCTAAACTCTCCTATGTGTTGCCTCTGCAGTTATAATGTAATTTCCTTTAGAACAAAGACTATTCCTTTTATATTTGTGTCCCCAGGGCTTCACACTGTGCTTGGTACATAGCAGGTATTTAATAAATGCATTTCATTCTTTCATACATGCATTCATTCTTTCATTCACTATCCTCACCTATTTTCATCTTTCCATTGTAAGAAAGTATAGTACAAGGGGGCCCTATCCAGTGAGATTTTAATATTACCTTAGGAGTGACTCAGTGTCTCACCTAAGTTTGCAAAACACCCCTCTTCTCTCTAGGTCTGACTCAATATTAATAGGTTTAAATTCTCAGAGATAGACTACTACCACAACATGGTTACATTAAAACTCTTTCAGGATCCTAGTGGTTATCCTGGTGAAGGGACATATGCTTTCCCTACTTACCACTCTTACTGTTGAGACCCTTAACAAAATAGCATTTACAAGGTCTTTCCATTAATCGCCATCTAAACAGAACACTTAGAAAGTGTTAGCTTACAAGATACGATGAGCAAAAGGATTTCAGAAAAAAACTGGAAAGGCTTATATGAACGGATGCAAAGTAAAGTGACCAGATCCAGGAGAACATTATACACAGCAACATTGTGTGATGATCAACTACGAATGATTTCGCTCTCTTCAGCAATACAATAATCCAAGACAATTCCAAAGGACTTATGATGGAAAATGCTATCCATGTCCAGAGAAAGAACGGCGGCGTCTGAATACAGATCAAAGCATACTATTTTCACTTTATTTTTTTTCATTTTTTTTTCTTTTGGCCTGTTTCTTATTTCACAACATGACTAATATGGGAATATGTTTTACATGACAGCACATACATAACCTATATAAAATTGCTTACCAAATGGGGGGGGTAAAAAAGAGAGAGAGAATCTGGAACTCAATTTTTTAAATGAATGTTAAAAATTGTCTTAACATGTAATTGTAAAAAATAAAACAGTATTTTTAAAAAGTTAGCTTTTAATGCTCAGATTTGGGAGATGGTTTGTCTTATGAGAAAAACATAAAAGAGGCCAGTGTTGCAAGACTGTAGTATACATATGCCTGGAAGCAGAATATAAGAAGACTGGAAGAGTATGAAGGGGGCAGGTTGGCAGGGCTTTAGAAGCTAAATGGAGTATTTTATAAGGCATTACCACCAGAGTTTATTAGGTAAGAGGGTCACATAGTCAGACATGCATTATTGGAAGTTCACTTCGATGGCTGAATAGAGAATGGATTGGGGGAAGGAGAGACTTAAGATAAGGAGACCAACCAGCAAGCTGTTGCAATAAAGTCTACTCATGAGGTAATAAGAACCTCCACCAGGATTGTTGCAATGTGCAGAGAAGAGGACATATATGAGAGATGTTATTATGAAGGTCATGGAAATGACAGGACTTGAAAACTGATAAGATATGAGTTGGGTGGAGGGGGCTGTGAGAGAGAGTGAAGAGTTAAGGATGATATTAAGCTTGTGAGCGTAGATGACTGGAAGAATGGTGGTGTCCTTGACAGTAATAGGGAAGCTCAGAAGAAAGGAAGGTTGGGGGAGAAGTTAGGTTTTGGATATGTCGAGTTTGAGATGTCAGTGGGACCTGTATTTTGAGAACTCTAAAAGGTAATTGGTGATGAGGGGCCGAGCTCAGTGGTGGACAAATAAATCTGAGAATCAATTGCATAGAGACAATAAGTGAATCAATTGGAGCTTATGAGATCAATGAGTGTAGAGGGAAAAGAGAAGATGGCATAGGACAAATCCATGGGATATGCCCACAGTTAGAATATATGACATGGATGAAAAAGAAACAAGCAAAGGAGACTGAAGGAATGGTCAGACTAGAGGAGCACCAGGAGCAAGTAGTGTCATAAAAACTTGGACATTAGAGAGTATCCAAGAAGACGAGGTGATCGAGTGTGAAAGGCAGCAGAGAGGTCAAGAAAGATGAGGATTAAGAAAAGACCATTAGAACTGGCAATTAAGAGACCATTAATATCTTTTGATAAGACAGAATCAATTGAATGATTAGGCTGGAAGCTAGATTGCAGAAGGTTTCAATAAAGAGGGGAGAAAGTAGAGACATTGGGATTAGATAGCTTTCCTCAGGGAGTTTAACCATCAAGAGGAGGAATGATATAGGATAAAAGAACCAAGTGAGGGTTTTTTATTTTGTTTTGAGGATAGGAGAGATATAGGTACCTTTGTGGGTAATAGGAAAGGGGCCAATAGAGAAGAGAGATTGAAGATGGTAGTGTGTGTGTGTTGGGGTGGAGGTGATAGTGCCTTCATTATCTAACCAATTAAATGTCAAGGAAAGTTTTAGTACCTTTTAAGGAAAAACTGTTGAGACCTTAGCATATTGTACTCACAATGTCCCAAAAGGAAATTTAATAATGTAGTCGTATGTCCACCCATTATGTGACTTAAAAATGATGGAGTCATGCATTGTTGGTGGAATTGTGAACTGATCCAGCCATTCTGGAGAGCAATTTGGAACTGTGCCCAAAAGGTTATAAAACTATGCATACCCTTTGACCCAGCAGTACCACTTCTTGGTCTGTGTTTGAAATAGATCATAAAAATGGGGAAAAGGACCAACATGTACAAAAATATTTATAGCAGCTGATTTTGTGGGGCCAAGAAATTGGAGACTGGCTGAATAAGTTGTGGTATATGAACGTAATGAAGTACTATTGTGCCATAAGAAATGATGAGCAGTTGGGCTTTAGAAAAACCTGGATTTACGTGAACTGACGCTGAGTGGAGTGAGCAAAACCAGAACATTGTGCACAGTAACAGCAACATTGTGCAATGACCAGCTTTGACAGACTTAACTCTTCTCAGCAATACAAGGATCTAAGACAATTCCAAAAGACTCATGAGATGGAAAATGCTGTCTCCATCCAGAGAAAGAACTATGGAGTCTGAATGCAGATCAAAGCATACTATTTTCTCATATTTTTTTGTTTCTTCTGTCTCTGGTTTTTCTCTTTGGTTCTAATTCTTCTTTATAACAGGACTAATGTGGAAATACGTTTAATATGATTGTACATATATAGCCTATGTCAGATTGCATGCCGTCTTGGGGAGGGGCAGAGTGGAGAGAGGAGGAGAAAATTTAGAACTCAAAATATTAAAGAAGTGAATGTTGAAAACTAAAAACAAATAAATAAAATTTTAAAAAGTTATGAAGTCATTTAACTACTTCCTCAGCATATGTAAATTTGTTGGTAGAAATATTTTATAAAGAAAGAATGTTACTCAGCTCTTTCTCTAACTGAAAAGCGCCTCTTATAGGCAATCAGAACATTGATTCATTTGGTTAGGATGATACATGTAATCTCTATGTTTTGTTATTCTGTATATGATTTTTGATATCCATGTACCAAAGTGCAGGGCTAGTGGAGGGGAGATGGGTAATAGCCTCACCACTTAATATAGAAAGAAAATATTTAATTCATTTTCAGAAAAATGGTGGGGAGCAGGGTTGTTTGGAGTTTATTAAACTACATTTAAACTTTAAATTTTTTTGTTGATGAAAAATGTAAAATAAGGGTCATATGTTAACCTTGTAATTTAAAGCATATTAGACTATACCTTCAATTATTGATACTATTTTTTCCACTTTATTCATATTTCAGATCGATTTGCTATGTTAGCAAATAATAATCTCCAGATCCTTAATATCAACAAAAGTGATGAAGGAATATACAGATGTGAAGGAAGAGTGGAAGCTAGAGGAGAAATTGACTTTCGAGATATCATAGTTATTGTTAATGGTAAGCCATAAATCAGATATGTGTATATTTAATTAGAATTCTTTCTTGTTTTTATTTTGGTTATTGTTTATTCATGACTTAGTAACAATATTAGTTTAAGTGATTAAAAGGACTGCACCATGGCTTTAATGAAAAAGAAAAAAATAGGCCACCATGGGAAGTGAAATGAGTTAAGAGGCTCATCATGTATTGTTTATTCATCAACATGTGTTAACTCTCTGGGCTTCATTCCATAATTTTAAAATGAGAGGGTACTACCACATGGACTTATGGATCCTTTCCCAGTCTAAAATTCTATTAATATGATAGATTAAAAAAAGTCATATTTTGCCATTGCTATCTATCTAGTTATCTCTTGGAAAAAAATTAGCTATATAGGTGCATGTAGAGATATCTTCTCTTATATGATAGGTTAAATAGATTTATTTAATCTATCTTTTAAATCTTATGAAGTTCCAGTTAAGGTACAAAATTTTCTCTTTCAATATTAATAGGTACATATTACAATATTTATGAAAGTATAATGGTGGAATATACTGATATAATAGAGAAAAATCCTGTATGTGTTCCTTCCACTCATAAAATGGTGTTCCTGACTCCCTAGAGCCTCATTTTGAGAATAAAATCAAGAGGAAAGATTTCATACAAATCTATAGCATTTTTTTCTATTTTTTTCTGTGCATTTATATAAACTTTTTTGTTTGTTTATTTCTTGCTTTGAAGCGACTATTAATGTTAGAGGATTTAACGAGTGGTCCTTGATTGGCAGCCATATTACCCTACAGCAAACACAAATGAATACAATATCTAATAAAACATATTAAATGAATTAGAGGTTCATTGATGATAATGATGATGGTGGTGATGATAACAATAACCAGCATTTACATAGAACTTTAAGTTTTGCAGATCAGGTTTACCTACATTATCTCATTTGATCCCCATGATACCCTGTAGGAGAGGTACTATTATTATTTCCGTTTTATAAATGAGAAAACTAAGATTAAGAGTGGTTATGTGACTTGCTCAGAATCACCCAACTAGTAAGCATCTAATGAAGGATTTGAACTCAAGTCTTCCTGATTCCAAGTCTAACATTTTGTCCACTGTGCCACTGAACTGCCACAAGTACAAAATAAGTCAGTATTATGAGATTTCCAGGGAAGGAAAGCTCAGTTCTAACTCTGGATGTCAAGAGTTATGGAGGATAGTATAAAGGTTTCACTAAAAAGAGGTCAGTATTAATTTGGATCTTGAAAGATGGGTGGGATTTGGGTGAACATGGGTGAAAGAAGGGCATTATGTCCAGGTATAAGGAATGGTGATTGTCTCAAGGTGGTAAAGTATGGAGTACATTTTCAGAGCAATAAGGAGGCCAAATTAGCTGCAAAATAGAGCATATGAAAGAATATCAGTTAAGATTGGAAAATTATTTGGATAGCAAACAGTGAAGGGCCTCAAAAACCAAGCAGAGGTGGGTGGAGCCAAGATGGCAGAGTAAAGACAGGGACATGCCTGAGTTCTCCAAAATTCTCCTCCAAACAACTTTAAATAATGCCTCACAATGATTTCTGGAGTAGCAGAACCAACAAAAGGAGGGAGTGAAATAATTTTCCAGCCAAGACCTTAGAAGACTGACAGGAAAGGTCTGAATCACTGGGGTGGGAATAGAATTCAGTCCATCATAGGCCACACCTCACAAGCCAGCAGCAGGCCTTGAGTGTCACTGAATCAGCAGTGGTGGCTTCCAGGACTCAGCCCACATATAATAAGAGGGTCAGACAACTGGTCAGAAGGGAATTAAAAGGGACCTTTTGCTGTCACTGAATGCAACTCTTGGCTGCATGACCCAGACATGGTTCCAGGTTGGAGTTCCAGGGCAGAGAGGAGCACTAGCAGGAGCAGAGACACTGGTCACAGTGTCCAGAATAGAAAAGAGTACTTATGATTGCTCACAGACCAGAACATAGGTCAGGAGAGCAGTGACCATAATTTTCCTTAAATCTTGCCACCTGGGAAGAAATAAAATTTATAGGACCCCAAAACTAGCTCTGAAAATAGCAGCACTAAAAATCTGAAGCTTGGGACAGTGCCCTCTTCACCCCCAGGAGTAGAGCCCAACTTTAACATAAAGTTAGAAATCAAGAAATAAGCTGGAAAAATGAGCAAACAACAATAACAAAAAAGGATCTGACCATAGAACATTATTGTGGAGACAGGGAAGATCAAAATGCAGACTCAGGAGTCAAACAAAGTCAAAATAGCTGCATCTAAAGTGTCAAAGAAAAATGTGAATTGGTCTCAGACTCAACAAGAATTCCTGGGAGAGCTCAAAAAGAAAAAATCATATAAGAAAGGTACAAGAAAAATTGAGAAAGGAAATGAGAGTGATGCAAGAAAATCATGACAAAAGAGTCAATAACTTGATAAAGGAGTCACAAAAAATATCCAAAGTAGCACCTTAAAAAAAAAAAAGATTAAGCCAAATGTTTAGAAGCACAAAAGTCTGCTGAAGAAAGCTCCTTAAAAAAGTATAATTGGTCCTCTTTACAACATGACTAATAGAAAGTATGTTTATATATCAGAGCCTGTATCACAGTCAGGGTAACACAAGATATAGCAACTTCAACTTTCAAGGATCAAAAGGCTTGGTATATGATGTTTTGGAGAGCAAAGGAGCTAGGATTACAACCAAGAATCATCTACCCAGCAAAACTGAGTATAATCCTTCAGAGGAAAAAAAATCATCAAAGACTTTGTGTAGCCACTCCTTTCAGTCTCTGAACAATTCAGCTAGAATACTCCACTTCTTAACAGTAGCTAAATCTCATAAGAATTAGGAGGGAGGAATAATGAAACAGCTGAGAAAATGTGCAAAGGAAAATTCTTAATGTAATGGAGAAACGTTGTAGAGTTAGAGAATCCCAGGATAAAATTCCACAAGTAAAAAGTGAGTCTTCAATAACTCTAAAAAAGAATATGGAATGACCACAAGTCTTCCAAGAATAAGTGGTAAGGAAGGCCCAGTGAACAAACTGAAGGAAAAGATAAGAAATGGAATAAACTTGGAGAGAAACTGGAAATCTTAAATGGAACAGTGAGCACCCTAAAAAATAGAAGAAACACCTCAAAAATTCAATAATACAAGAAACTAGAGAGCAATGTAAAAAGAAAACAAAATTGGAAGAACATAAATGAGCTGGAGAAGAGGACACAGAGAAATAATCTCAGTATCACTAGGCTTCCAGAGGAAATAATGAAAAAAAACCCTTGAATATCATATTCCAAAAAGCCATAAAAGATACCAAGAAATACTATAATTAGCAGAAAGTGAATTTGATAAAATTCACAGGTCATCATCAGAAATAAGCCAGAACATGTAAAGGACATATATAATGGACCCAGAAACGTGATTCTTAAGGCCCAGAGCACCCAAGTCAAGTAAAAAATATTTCAAATGATGAGGGACTATAAGCAACCAGAAAGAACTCCAGTGAGAATCCCATAATACTATGCTTAAACTACCATGAGGGAAAGAGATGATTAGAATGTTATAATGAAAAGCAAAAGAAATTGCCATGCAACACAGAATAATTTAACTTGCAAAACTGATAATGATACTATAAGTAACAAAATGGGACTTGCAACAAAACCAGTGATTTCTAAACACTCTCGTTGACAAAAGCACAGAGTCAAAAGACTTTGAAAGGAAACATAGTAGAAAAAAGCAGCTTAGGAAAACATGTTTGAATAACTCAAAGGGGCCGTATTGATACAGTTGCTTACATTTTCTCCTCAATGATATTAGATGTTCCAGTTTTTAAGTCTTCTTAGTGAACAATGAGAAATTGACTATTGGCATGGTTGTTCAATTTTTTTTTTTAAAAGAGGAAAAAGAAATATCCTGGGCAAGGAGAAAGAAGGAGGAGATATTTGTTATTTGTTGTAATAAGGCCACTATAAAAGTGGTAGTGAGTGAGTTAGGAATGTCATGAACCTCATTCTTATAGAGTCAAGGCAATTTGCTGACCTGTTTTTCTTAGCTGTACTTCTTTCTCGAAAATGAGATTTTTATGTAGTAGATAGGAGGGTTGTCTTTAGAAAGTTATAGTAATATAAAAAGATAAGTGAAAACTTTTTTAAAAAAGAAAAATGCATGTTGATTTGGTTTGGAGGATCTTGTCAGTGTTCTTCATAGAATTCTTTGCCACTTCATTCAGGGCAACAAATCTTGACTCATAAATTGCTGTTTTCTACATGATCATCTTTTTATTATACTCATGAGCACTGTAAAATCAAGATCACCAATATCCCAAGAGATGAGATTTTTTTGTTGCCTTTGGGAACACAATTAAGCCAACCCTCCCATCACCTTTTTTTCTATCTTCAAGGAAACTCTTTGAGCCACTCTTCCATTTAGAAATAGCTTTTAATTTGGTTTATTGTGAGAATAGAGCATTGATTGATGTGGTTAATTTCTTTCAGTAGCATTTCAATGTATTGATCATTAAACAAAGACCTCACATTTAATATACTTGGAGTTAAGTTTGTGATTATATGTGGTCTTAGAACTGATTACTCTATCTCATTTTCTTCCACTCCTCTACTGTCACTATAGTGGTGGAAGGTAGTTGCACAGACTTGAGGGCATTTAAAAATATTTTTAAATTTGTTTTGTGGGTTTCCATGGTCAACTAATCCATCACTTGAGCAAATGACTGGTGTCAAGCCTCTCAGTGCTTACCTGAGTTGGTTCTCAATCAGGAACTCAGTCTCTTGCCAACACAATACTTGAAGTCATTCTAGCATCAGAGAAACTAAAACAGAGTATGTTTTGCTGGTATAGCCTTTGAGGACACAAGGTCACCTACTTAACTACTCTGTCCCCTGCTCTCAAAATTCTTTTCCCCTTGTTCTATCACTGCTCATCATTTGCCAAACCATCTGCTTCTTCCGTGCTTGTCATGAGCAGCTGAACACACCTGGAGCAAATCTCACAAGCTCCTGTATAGGTACATTACAAATCCTCATTATCCAATCTTAACTGGACCTTCACTGCAGCAAGGCAGCCCTCTTATTCCTTCCTTATTCCATATCCCACTCATCACAGAAACTTTCCAAACTTCTTCCCTTCTCAGACTTCCCAGACCTTTCCCTCCTTCTCTCACTTTTCCAGTAAAATTAAGACCTTTTGAAGTGAACTCTCTTCTCCCTTTCTTTTCATCTCAGAACATCTTGACATTATCTCTGACTCTCTTCTCCTTTTCCTCAATCTCTGACAAAGAGATGGCCCCTATCTGTGCCAAGACCAATCACTTTACATGCAGTCTTGATTCCATCCTTTCATGTCTTCTCCAGCAGACTGTGTCTTCCTTCATTCATCCCCTCTCTCTTGAATCTTCATCCTCTTCCTATCATTTCCTTTCATACTGTCTTTATATATGCTCAGATATCTCCTGGCCTTTTTAAAAAATCTTCACCAGATCCTACTGTTCTCCCAAGTTATCATGTTAATATCTTTCCTCCTTCCTTAGCCAAACTCTTTGAAAAATCAGTCTACAGTTGCCACCTCCTCCACTTTCTTTTCTCTCACTGCTCGACTCTTTCACGATCTGGCTTCTGACCATATTACTCAACTGAAACTGCGCTATTCAGAATTACCAGTCATCTTGTAAATGTCAAATCTTATGGTCTTAAGTCTTCATACTTCTTCACTAGTCTCCTTCCTGCATTTGACTCCTCTTGAATATTCTTCTTTTCTGGCTTTTTGTGACACTGTTATCTCTCTCCTTGGTGGTCCTGCCTATTTACTGTCCCTTCTCAGTCTCTTTCGCTGGCTCATCCCTATTGCCCTCCTTAGGTTCAGCCTTAGGTTATCTTCTCTTTGCCTTCTTCACTCTCTTTAGTAGCCTATCAGCTACTTTGAGTTTAACTATCATCTCTATGTAGTGATCTAGTCTTTCCACTTACCTTCAGTCCCATTACCTATTGGACCTAATTGGCATCACCAGTTATCTACTGGACATTTTAAACTGGATGTCTTGGAAATATCTCAAACTCAACATATCCAATACTAAATATTTTATCTTTGCTCCCAAATCCTTCTCTCTTTCAAATCTCTTTCTCATCCTTCTAGTCTGCGAGGTTTGTAAATTCAGTGTTATCCTAGATTCCTCACTCTCCATCATCCTACATAAACATTCCCTTGCCAGTTGTAGAAATTTCTGCTTTCACCATTTCTTTTTCATCTTGCTCCTTCTCTTTGCTCACACAGCTACCACCTCAGTTCAGGCCTTTGTTTCTTTTCTGCTAAATTATTACAATAACCTCTTAATTGGTCTGCCTGCCAAGTCTCTACCCAGTCCAAGTCGCCGTACACATTGCTGCCATAGTAATTTTTCTTAAAGTGTGGAGTTGACAATATGGCTCTCCAGGGATTCACTCAATTCCAATGGCTTCCTATTGTCCCAGAGATAAAATACAAACCACTCTGTTTAGCTTTTAAAGCCCTATACAACCTTCCTCTAAACTATCTAGCCTCATTCAACTTTACTCCTTTTCCTCACACTCTATGGGATCCATCCACACTTGCCTCTCTCTGTTCCTCATACATGACTCTCCATCTCTCATCTCCTTTCCTTTGCACTAATATCTCGTGATTAAAAATGAAGTCTCTCCTTATCTCTACGTTATAGAGTCCCTCTCTTCAAGATGCAGTTCCGGCAAGGCCTTTCCTAAATTCCCCCAATTGCTAATATCCTCCCTCCCATGTATTAAACTACTTTTTATTTATTTGTATTTTATGTTTGATATGCTTATATGTGACTGTTGTCTTCCTCATTAGAATATAAGCTCTTTTTCAGTAGGGATTGATTTGTTCTTTGTACTTCTAGTGCCTGGCACTTTGTGGTCACTTAATAAATTCCTAATTATTATTGATTGATTTATTGAAGGTGGTCTTACTGTGAGGAAATTAGATTAATTATATTTTTAAATCATCAGTAAGCATTTATTGAGTACCTACTACATGCCAGGCACTGTGCTAGACACTGGAATACAAAAAAAAAAAAAGACAAAAGACAGTCCCTGCCCTTGAGGAGCTCCCAGTCTAATGGTGAAGACAACATGCAAACAACTATGTATAAACAAACTTTGTAAAGGATAAATAAAAAACAATCAACAGAGGGAAGGCATTAGATTTAAGAGGGATTAGAAAAAGCTTCCTGTAAAAGATGGGATTTTAGAAAGTCGAGGCAAGCAAGGAAGTAAAAGTGAGGAAGGAGAGCCAGTAAAAATGCCTGTAGCTGAGAGGTCACGTATCTTGTTCATAGAACAGTAATGAGGCCAGTGTCACTGGATCAGAGGGTGAGTTGGGGGTGAGAGGGTGTAAGGTACAAGAAGATTGAAAAGATAAGGGGCAACCAGGTTAGGAAAAGCTTTCAATATCAGACAGAGGATGTTATGGTAAATCTTGGAAGTAATAGTGAGCCACTAGAGTTTATTAAGTAGTGAGGAGATGTGGTCAGACCTGCATTTTAGGAAAATTGTTTTGATGGCTAAGTGGAAGATGGACTAAAGTGGGGAGACAGTTGCGGCAAGGAGACCAACTACTGTAATAATCCAGAGACGAGGAAATGAGGGCCTGAATCAGGTTGGTAGCAATATAAGAGGAGAGATGGGGGCTTATTCAAGAGATGTTGAAAAGATGAAATCTACAGGCCTCAGTAACCATTGGATAAGAGGACGATGAGAAATAGTAATGAGTTGAGAATAATGCATACCTGGGGAGCTGGGAAGGTGGTGGTACCCTTGACAATTTGGGGGAAGTTTGGAATGGAGGAAGGTTTGAAGGAAGAAAATGAGTTCAGTTTTGAATACGTTGAATTTAAGATGCCTACAGGTTATCTAATCTGAGATGTTTAGTGATCAATTGGATAGAAGAGACTGGAGGTCAGCAGAAAGTTTAGGGCTGGATAAGTGGATTGAGAATCACAAACATGAAAATAATTAAATCCATGGGAGCTGGTGAGATCACTAAATGAAATAGTTTAGAAGGAGAAAAAAAAGAGGCTCCAGGACAGAGCTTTTTGGGACACCCATGATTAGTAGGCATGATCTGGATGAAGATCTAGCAAAGGAGTCTGAGAAGGGATTATATAGGTAGGAAGGGAACCAAAGGAGAAAAGTCTCATGAAAACTTAGAGGAAAAAAAATGTAATTGATAGTATTAAAGGCTCCATAGAGATAAAGAAGGATGAGAATTGAGAAAAGGCAATTGGGTTTGGCAACTAAGAGACCATTGGTAATTTTGGAGAGAGCAATTTAAGTTGAATAATGAGGTTGGCTGGATGCCAGACTGTAGAGTTATAAGGAGAGTGAGAGGAAAGGAAGTGAAATCACCCATTATAGATGTCCTTCTCAAGGAGTTTAGCCACAAAAGGCAGAAGAGATATGAGACAGTAGTTAGCAGGAATGAATGAATCAAGTGAGGGTTTTTTAAGGATAGGGGAGATATAGGCATGTTTGTAAGTAGTAGGGAAGCAGCCAATAGACTTGGAAAAATTAAAGATAAATGACAGAGTGGAGATGATAGAGAGAGGGCAGTCTGCTGGAGAACACAGGATGAAGTGGTATCATCATTTTAAAAGAAGAAGAAGGTCTGTCTCTTCATGTGAGACAAGCATAAAGGAGATAGTGGCAGAAAGCATCAGAATAATGAGAGAAGGAGGAGAGAAGAGAAAGCCCCCCGAGAGTAGCCTTGAATTTTTTAATAAAATGTAAGGCAAGCTCAGAGGGTAGGGGAAGAGGAAGCCATGGGAGGTTTGAAGAGCAATGAAAAGGTTTGGAAGAGTTGCTGTGGTGATTGTGGTAAGGAGTTAATTTAGGGAGGTGTAAAATGGTTGTCTAATAGCAGTGAGGGCCCATATATGATATGTATATATGTACATAAATGTACATATATATGTAAATGTATATACAATGTATGTGTGATATATATTTATATGTGGAAAAGAAATTAGACATATGTAGAGAAAGATGCTATGTTTATACAACTAATATGCGAAGGTAATTATTTTTAAATGATTCTGTGGCAATAGTGATTTAAAAGAATATTTACTTCAGATATAATTTTATTTTCTTTCTTAGTTCCACCAGCAATTACAATGCCACTTATGTTCTTCAATGCTACTGCCGATCGACAAGAAGAAGTGGTGTTGTCTTGTAGGGCTACTGGCTCACCAGAGCCAAATATCAGCTGGTATAGGTAAGTTTTACTTTAAATAGTATATCAAAAAACAAGCACTAAATTTAATCTATCACCTTTCACTAATGAAATTTGTAAAAATCAAAGATTTGGATGGTGTCTTGAAGCAAACTTTTCTGCTTTATTTAGGTTAATTGGCTGGGACATTTTTTTTCAATTTGATAAAGTAGTGTCATGCATGAAAAATAATTATATCTGTAATAGCTGTCAATATAATCCATAAATGCTTGCTTTCATTACAAATATACTTTTTCAAGAGATTATGGATGATAATGGAATTCAAGGAATACAAATATTTATTAGCCAGATGTCAAGAAAAAGTTTTGCATAATTAGTGGAATGTGATTTAAAAATGAGTGTTAGAATTTGGAAATATAGTCATTGATTACTTCTTCCATTTGGTTCTACATGTTTGTGTGATATCTTTTTCATATATGATAGCCATCAAACCCAAAGACAATAATCAACTCATTTAAAAATACCAAATAAACAGACATTTGAATTGCTGTATCACAAAGTGTTAAACTAAAATTTTCAAAATATTCAGTCACATTGCTCTGACTAAAAATACTTTTTAGGGAGAATAAAACAACTTTCTATACTACCAGTAGATAAAATTATTGTCTTTCTGTATTATCTATAGGTAATTTATTTAAAATATTTTGTTTTTCTTCTTTTTCAATACATGTTTCTCTGTTTTATAATGTACATAATATATTGGCATAGTATTACATGTATATAATTTATAAATAAATGTACGTATTTTGGCATACTACTCAAAAAATGTTTTTTATTGATGGGATGTGAGATCAAGAAAGTTTGGGTAAAAATGAGTTGGAAAACCTCACAGAATCAGTAAACAATAGTACTTTCATAGGAATAGGGACTGGACCTGTGATTTCATGGGTATAGAAAACTTCCAGGCAAAAAAACTCTCTCATTCAATACAAGTTATCATCTTCTCTGTAATTTATGGAAAGTTGTATATAGCATTGAAAGGCTAAATGACTTTCCCAGGGTCAAAGAGCCCATGTGTGTCAGAGGAGGGACTAGAACCCATTTCTTTGTGTCTCCAAGGCCAGCTTTCTAATCTCATACCATGCTGCGTTCTCAACATTTCCATACTATTATATAAATCAGTAATCATCAAAGCTATTTGGTAATGGTTTTTTTATTTATTTTTTTTTTAGGCAGTTGAGGTTAAGTGACTTGCCCAGGGTCACACAGCTAGTAAGTGTCAAGTGTTTGGTCTGAGGCCGGATTTAAACTCAGGTTCTCCTGACTTCAGGGCCAGTACTCTGTCCACTGCACCACCTAGCTACCCTGGTAATGGTTTTTTAAAAAGAGAGAAAAGATCAGTGGAATAGACTAGATAAGCAAGAATCAGAAACAAAAAGTCCTTTTCCCTTTATCTTTGACTTCTTGGGATATATGTCTAGTAGTGGTATTACAAAGTCATGTAGTTTAGTGACCTTTGGGCTATAGATCCAAATTGCTTTCCAGAACAGTAGGTCCAATTTACAGCTCCATTAGGTGTGTTTGTTTTCCCATATCCCTTTCAACAGTTGCAATTTTCCTCCTTTGTCACCTTTAACAATCTCATGGGTAAGAGGTAGAGTCAGCAAGAGTTGTTTTAATATGCATTTATATAATTATTAGTGATCTTGAGAATTTAACGTGATTGATATATTTGACGTCTTTTTTGAAAACTGCCTGTTTGTATGATTTGACCATTTATCTACAAGGACTTTTGTTCCTGTATATTTTTACTATGTCAGCAGAAACATTTTTTCAGCTAATTGTTTCTTGTTCTCCCTCCCCTAATTCCTGGCCATGACCATTCACACCCTTTGTATCTTTTCATACCTTCTAGTCTTTCTAGTAAGATGGAAGCTTACCTCCACAACTTACAGTCTTCCCTGCCCTTATCACCCAGCCCAGTGGGCCTTACCATTTTCTGGATGTTATTCCCTCTAGACTCCCAGGTGTTGCCATCTGTCCTGAAACTAAACTCTCATAATTGTAAAAGGTATGGAAGTATCCCTTTTCTTTTAATTTGTGACTTTTCTTTTTAGGTCATGTAGCCATTTGTAGCTTGTTGGTATGTAATGTGAGATGTTGGTCTAAATCTAATTTCTGTCCAATTGCTTTACAGTTGTCCCAATAGTTTTGTTTATATAGGGAGTCCTTCTCCTAGTAATTAGCATCCTTGGGTTTATTGAGCACTGTCCAGCATTGTTTGATTACTTCCAGGTCTTGTTCAACCTAATCTGTTCCACTGATCAAGTTTTCTATTTTTTTAAATAGTTACAAACAGTTTTGATAATGTTTTTTTGCAGAGATTTTGAGAATTAGCTTTACTTGGTCCTCTTCCTATTTTTTCATTATTTCCCTTTAATTTTGTGACCTGTGGTTCCTCCAGATGAAATTTGTTATTGCATTTTTTTATTTTTTTAACATAATTTTTAAAATTTTGAGTTCCAAATTGTCTCCCTTCATAAAGCCCCTCCCTACCATTGAGAAGACAAGCAATATGATACCCATCATAAATATGAAGTCATGCAAAACATATTTCTGTATTAGCCATGTTGCAAAAAAAACCCAAACAAACAAGAAAAATAAAGAAAGTGAAAAACAATATGCTTCAGTCTGCACTCAGAGTTCATCATGAGTCATTTGGAATTACATTGGATCATTGTATTGATTAGAATAGCTTAGTCTTTTTATAGTTTATAATACTTACAGTATTGCCATTACTATGTACAATAGTATCCTGGTTCTGCTTATTTCACTTTGCATCAGTGCATTTAAGCCTTCTTAGGTTTTTCTGACACCATTCTTCTTATCATTTCTTATAGCATAATAGCATTCCATCACAATCATATACCACATTTGTTTAGCCATTCTGCAACTAATAGGCATTCCCTCATTTTACCTTTCCTTGCCACCACAAAAAGAGCTGCAATCAATATTTTTGTGCATGTAGGTCTTTTTTTCTTTTCCTTTGATCTCTTTGGGATACATAACTAGTAATGCTATTGCTGGGTCAGAAGCCATGGACAGTATTATAGCCCTCTGAGCATAGTTTCAAATTGTTCTCCAGAACAGTTGGACGAGGGTACAATCCCATCAATAGTTCATTAACGTACCTATTTTTCCACATTCTTTCCAGCATTGATCATTTTCGTTTTCTGTCATGTTAGCCATTCTCATAGCTATAAGGTGGTACCTCAGAGTTGTTTTAATTTGCATTTCTCTGTTCAATAATCATTTAGAGCATTTTTTCATATGACTATACATAGCTTTGATTTCTTTGTCTGAAAACTGCCTATTCATATCTCTTGACCATTTATCAACTGGGGAATGGCTCTTAGTTTTATAAATTTGTCTCAGTTCCACATATATCTGAGAAATGAGACCTTTACTGTAAAATAGTCTTCCCAGTTTCCTGCTTTCCTTCTAATTTTGGCTGCTTTGGTTTTGTTTGTGCATTTTTAAAATTTCATGTAATCAAAATTATCTATTTTGTGTCTCGTAATCCTTCCTATCTCTTGTTTGATCATAAATTCTTTCTTTATGCTTAGGTCTGACAGATAATTTTTTCCATGCTCCCCTGATTTGCTAATAACTAAATCATGTGTTTATTTTGACCTTATCTTGGTATGCAATGTGAGATGTTGGTCTCTTCTTAGTTTCTGTCCGACTACTTTCCAGTTTTCCCAACAGTTTTTTTTTGTCAAATAGTGAATTCTTATTCCAAAAGCTTGGATTCTTCAGTTTATCAAATATTAGATACTGTGGTGATTTTCTTCTATATAGTGTGTACCTAATCTATTCCACTGATCAACCACTCTGTTTCTTAGCCAGTACCAAATTGTTTTGATGATTACCACTTTGCATTATAGTTTGAAATTTGACATTGGTAGGCCACCTTCCTTTACTTTTTCCCATTGATTCTCTTAATATTCTTGACCTTTTGATCCTCCCAATGAATTTTGTTATTATTTTTCTAACTGTATAAAATAATCTTTCATAATTTGATTGGTATGGCATTGAATAAGTAAATTAATTTAGGTAGAAGTTTTATTACCTTGGCTCTACCTACCCATGAGTAATTAATATTTCTCTGTTTAGATATCTTTATTTTTGTGAAAAGTGTTTTAGAATTGTATTTAAAAATTCCTGTGTGCAGGGAGACTCTCAAGTATTTTATTCTCTCTGCGGTTATTTTAGATGGAATTTCTCTTTCTATCTCTTTTGCCAGGTTTTTTTGGGTAATTTATAGAAATCTAATGATTTATGAAGTTTTACTTTACACCCTGTAACTTTGCCAAAGTTGTTAATTTTTTTTCATCTTTGTTTAATTAATTCTCAGGTTCTCTTTGTATGTCATCATATCTGTGAAGACTGATAGTTTTGTTTCCTTATTGCCTATTTTTATTCCTTCAATTTCTTTTTCTTGTCTTATTGTTATAGCTAGCATTTCTAGTAAAATGTTGAAATATAATAGTGATAAATGGACACCTTGCTTCACTCTTGATCCTATTAGAAGGCTTCTAGTTTCTCCCCATTTCAGATGCTTGCTTCTGGTTTTAGATAGATACTATTTATCATTTTAAGAAATGCTCCAGAAGGAGACATTCTGAGCTTCTGGATTCCAAGTGTTGCTGCAAACCAAGAGCTATGGGAGGACTTTTGAGATCAACAGAGGAAGGAGCTACTGCCTGAGGAGAATCTTTGGTTCTAAGTCAGGGATCCAGACTGAAGAAAACCTCAAGAAAAGGTCTCAGAGCAGGGTCCTTGCCTGTTGGCACATGCATGGCTGAGACCAGGCTTCCCACAATATTAGGAACATGGATGCTGTCACACTGGCACTAAGTCTTCAACAAGAGACTGCCTGCAACATCGGTCTGAAATTCTTCTCAACACCTGTCACCCTCAATGGTGGGCACAACTTTTGCCAGGTTTGTCTGACCAGAAGCAAGGAAGATGGGGTCACA